GAGGGGCTGCCAGCCCCCTGCCCCTCACCCAGGGCACCCCAGAACACCTCTGCTCCACTCGTCAGGCTGACCCTCGGCAGAAGGAACTTCTCGCCCACACTCAGACCAGGACTGGGGACCCCTGACCAAGCCCCCGCCAGCCCAGCGCGGCCACCGCTGCTCTCCGCGGGCTGCCGGGCTCCTGGGCCAGCACTGGGCCTACGGGCGGAGGTGCCCAGGTCTGCCCGCACGTCTCCGAGTGGCACACACACACACAGGGATTGTTTTCAACTGAGCTACACCATAAATGCTGGAAAATAATACAGTTTCTTGCTTAATACCCACGCATTAGATGGAGCCAAGGTCTCGTGATAAAACTAGCAAGGGAGCGCAGCCGAAAATAGCTCCAGAGGCACAGCCCCACCCCCCGGGAGCAGGGACAGCGCTGCCCGGGCAGCTGCCGCTCGGTGGTTTCCCAACTTCTGATTGTTTGTTCTCGCAGTCTAAATATGTAAACAGATGAGGGGTTTTCTGGAAATACGAGATAAAAAGGATCATTTCCAGTAACGTGTTTAGCCAACCCAAAGGCGGCAATCCGTTCAGCCGGCTCCCCGCGGGAGCTGCGGGTCTGACGGGGAGACTCTCGGACAAAGGAAGAGGCAACGGGGCCAGGCACATCCCATGGAGGTTTGAGAACCGGTTCAATCTGTGTCTGTTTCACTTAGAAACTGCATGAAGCTGAAACTCCACACGGTTAAACACTGTACAGTGAGCAAAGAGGCTTTGGTTTAGAAAGCTCACAGCGCCGGGCAGAGAGAGAACCCATGAGCTAACACAGCCACGGAGATCGAGGAGACCCCGCGATGGCAACACCCAGGACACGCTCACCTGCCGATGATAAACCACAGGAACTGAAAAGGGTCTCTTGTATTTACTGATTTTCTTTGCAAGTATGTGAACAAACATATCCTGTATCTGAGCGTACGGAGCTCCTAGGGGTGTGCTGAGAACATCGGTGAAGGGAAGTCTGTTTCCAGTTGTACAGCCAGGATGCTTTTGAGGGTGTAACTGCCACAGTAAAAAGTTTGGTGGTTTTTTTTTTATTCCAGAGCATTCGTTTTGTACTGCTGCTTAGCTATGGCTCTTTGAAAATGAGTTTATGTTCAGCATAAAATTATTTTATAAAACAGCAAGTTTGCAGAGCAGCACGTACAAGTGTTACACGCTGGCAACAACGCACTGGGATCCCAAAGCTACGGCAGTGCTCTGAAAATAGGGGCTACTGGCTGCGACGTTTGGCTCTAGAAATCCTTCCTGCTGTCAGACCCCAGCTCCTCCCGCGCCGGCGGGCGGGCA